AGAAACCCTATGTATGTAAGCAATGTGGGAAAGCTTTTAGTACACAAGATAATTGTAAACAACATGAAAGAATTCACACAGGGGAGAAACCCTATCTATGTAAGCAATGTGGAAAAGCTTTTAGTACACAACGTTATTGTAAAATACATGAAAGAACTCACACAGCATTAATTCTATGCATGTAAAAGCGATGTGGGAAAGCTTTCAGCATTTGTGGTGTTTGCCAAAGACACTCATGATAGGGAGAAAGCATATATATGTAAGCAGTGTGGGAATGCTTTCAGTACACACATGTATTGTCAAATACATGAAAGAAATCTCACTGGAGAGAAACTATACATGTAAGCCTATTTTGAAAATCCTGTGAAAATTTCTTTTAAGACCTGTAGGAGTAATACAGAAAGCTTGAGGTCAATATTTCTCTGTAAAATTTCCAAAAATAAAATCCCAGATAGAGATACCTTAAAGTACATAATTTGTTTTTCAGTAAATCACTTAAATATATGAATTGTGTATCTGCAGTGTGTAATATAAAAATATTGACATTTTTGTATATCTTTGAACTCAATACTAAGCATGGTGAATTAAAATATATTTTTTACTTTCAAGTAGAGTTAGTATTTGTGGTTTTTGTTTAGTCTACAATTTGGAAGTATAGGCCACTAAACTGAATTTTGTTAACTGCTTTTTGTTAACTAGGATTTTGCCACTACTTTTGTTTTAAATTTTTGGTGTGTATACTCTGTATTCTGTGTAACAAAAGAATTTGCTGCCATATTTTATATTAAGATAAATATTTTCAGGACTTGTGAACATGTGTTTTTAACAAAGTTGATTTGTTTTCACACAACTTGTAGATGAGCATGTTTCTCATATTGTGACAAGATTATCCCAATATATATTATATCATGTACCTAATTTTGCCTATTTTCTTTCATATTAAAGCTAATAATTATTTACATAAAATTGTTTTCTTACCATTAAAAATAAAAAAAGGTCCTAGGAGAACAGAAAACAGGAAAGAATATTTGAAGAGTTAATAACGGAAGACTTTTCCAGAAATAACAAAACATCACTGCACATACCCAGCAAGCTCAGAGAACTACAAATAGGATAAATATGAGAAAAGCATACCCACGGGGTAGAGTAGCTCAGTGGTAGTGTTTGCCTGGCATGTGTAAGGCCTGAGTTTGATCCCCAGCACCACAAAAACAAAAAACCCTAGACTTTTTCGGTCAGAAGTTGAGAATTCTTTGTCAGAATGAGGATACAAAGATGTTCTTCAGGCTAAAGTATTGTATCAGATACAAACTTGGGTGTACACAAGGAAATGAGTGCTTTGTAACAGTTACTATCGTAAAACTTGAGTGACTAAAAACATTTTCTGAGTCTGGGGCTTAGGAATTCACAACCAGCTTAGCTGAGTGGTTCAGGGTTGCTCATGTGGTTGTAGTGGAGATGTTGGTTTTAATTATAATTCTATGAAAGCTCAAGTAGGGTGGAAGATCCACTTTCAAGGCCATTTAGTTTACATGACTGGAAGAGACCCAAGTTCTTCAACATGTGGGATTCTCTGCAGGGCCATCTTTTTGATGTGACATTATCAACTGCCTGAGGGTTCTTTTGCTGGGGTCATGAACACGCCAAGGCATCTCCCTTAGTGCCAGCAGCTCTGAAGCTGGTTTTATGATTCTCTTGGCCACTTTGGCCAGCTCTTCAGCTGCTATAGCTAGTAGCTCCTGACAAGCTCTCCACAGTTAGCTATTTTGAGTTCTCTGGCTGCTAGGTACACAAACAAGTACCTTAGTGCTGCCAGCTCAGTCCACTGATAGGGAAATCAGACCATCCAGGTGAGGCATCACTGGGCCTCATTCTACAGCACTGCTGGGGTGGCAGCTGGGAGGATGTCAAGACTGGCCACAGGGCAGGAGAAGGGCAGGCCATGTGTGTCACTCTTGCCTACTAACCAGACTGCCCTCCGAGTTTGTGCTCAAGAGTGCTGGGCTTGCCTATTTTGGCTTTCACGGGGAGGAAGGTGCTCCTTGCAGATCAGTGAGGGGACACCTGAAGCGGCTCCAGTGTGGGCAGAATCTGGAGCACTAATCATATCTACAGTGGTGAGTTGAAGCCTTCTTTGCAACCATGACAGCTGCAGCAGTGGAACTGTTGCTTCAGGTTCTGTAGAAGTGGTAGGGGCACCAAAAGGACCACAGGCACACATCTCAGCCAGGCTGGGGCCATTGGGATGGTAGCAGCAGTCCCTGATCTGACCCCTATTTTTGTCTGGCTCTGCAGCCATGTGGCTGCCCTTAGGTTGGTGGCTGTGGAAGCTGCAGGCCACTGCTATGGCACCCGACACCTGCTCCTTTGGGTCCTATGGAAAAGAATATGAAAAGCACAAAGGTAGCTCCCTTTGGAGAGTGGCAGGCCCTCCTAGTCTCTCTCAAAGTCATCTGACAATCCCTCCCAGTGCTAGTGATCTAAGAACAAACAAGTTGCAATGCTTTTTATGCCATAGCCATAGAAATCACATATTTCCACCACACTTTTCATCAGACATGAACTGCTATAGCCCATGCTCAAGGGAAAGGGATTCAGGCTGTACCAAAGGCAGGGCTACCAAAGTAGTTCTGGACATATTTTTTTTTTTAACACTACATGCCAGAAATTACAAAATGATAATACATCAAAGCAAAAAAAATAAAGAATGTATTACGACGTTTATACATAAAAGTAAAATGATGACAATAGCATGATGGAAGAAGAATTGTACATGAAATGATATAATACTATTTGAAGGTAGACTAGTAAGTTAATCATGTGAGAAAACATGGAGAAAACATTGAAACACTGTATTTATAAAGAAATTTAACTAATAGGCCAATAGTGTCAAAGAAATCAAGAAAATACTGAGTCCAAAGGTGAGAAAAGGAAAAAATGAGAAGACATGTAAATAAGTCTCAAAACCAGATTCCCAGATCACCTACAGCAACCCCAAAGGGAAATGAGATGGAACACTAACCACCTGGACTCCCTGAATTGGCAACAAAAGAGGATCTGGAAAAAATGAAATCAGAAATAATTTCTCAGATAACAGCAGAGATTGTGCTCATATAGT